TACCTATGTTGGCAGCAGTAGTGCCTTATATCGTGCAACCTCATGTAGCCTCCCTCGTGGGCCCCTGCGCTGCTTGCCGCCCACCCCCTCGTCCTCCTCCTCTTCCTTCCCATCTCCGCCTCTCCCTCGTCCTCCCCCCCATTCCTCCTGCCCATGTGCCTCGCCCCATGTTCCCTCTACCCCCGTCCCCTCGCTACCCCCCCCCCCCCGCGCCGCCGCTGCCGGGACTTCTCGAACTTCGCGCTGAAGTGCGGCGGGGGCGACGGCCAGGTGGCGGACTACAACAAGATCATCGTCCTCTTCAAGTCTTTCGGGGCTGGCATGGAGATCCCCGCGGACGTTCCCATCTGCGCGTTCGAGCAGGGCCCCCAGACGGCGGGGCAAGGGCTCTCTGCAGGGGCGCTCGGGAGGCGAGGTAAGGGTGAAGGATTTGTGAGGCCTGGGTGCGGTGAATCCTGCGCTGCAGTCGTGATGCGGTTGTACTTGGCATCGTGTTTTCATTCGGTGTCGCATTGGGCTTCGGGCCCATTGGCGCCCTTCCTGGATATTTGATTCTGACTGGCGAGGGGGCCGAAGGGGGTCGGATGACTAGGGGGATGGTGAGGGGGTTGGAGGGGGGATGAGGGATGAGGGTGATTGGCGAGGGCCTCAGGGCGATGAGGTGATGAGGGAGGGGTCGGAGTCGGCCAGGGGGATTAAGGTCTCGAATGCCTCGTGGGACTCTGAACTGTTGCCCTGTCAACGCGTCCTGCTGGATGCACGGCTTGTGCGGCGTGGTGGTGGTGTCGTGTGGGGGGGCATGTCAGTGCGAGTTTAGACGGGCAGCGTGAGCGGGGCTCGGGAGATGTTGCACATCCCGCCTGGCTTCGTGGTGGCCGACAAGGTGTCGCAGACGTGCTGGGGCGTGAGGACCGCGGCTGCCCCTCAGTCGTGGCTGTCGCGCACACCCCCGTCGGCGCCCTGCCCCCCCCCCCCCAAGGCGCACAGTCAACCATGATAGTAAGTATAGGGCAACTTTCCAACGTCACCCTTACATCCTTGCCCCTTCGGTATTCGGCACCCATCGGCATTATGCTGCGCTCCGCGCGGACAACGTCCACATGGCGTTCCAAGGCCCGCGCACCCTTCCCGCGCAGCCTTAATGTCCTGGTCGAGTGCACGCCGTTGAACCTGCCAGGGCCTCCCAGACACTGGAACGCAAGCGGGGCATCGCTGCAGTTGCGCCCCTTTTGTGTTCAAGTGCTTGGGCGCCCCTGTTGGGCCCCGAACTCTCGGCGCCCCAAGGGCTGCCCGCTCTTCGGCATGGCCGTCGCCCCCCCCCCCCCCCTCTTGTCTCACGCGTGCGCTCGAGGATCTCTGCCGGCAATTTGAAGGAGGGGGCGGCGTTGTCGCACGGCGTGTCGGCGCTCGCGAGCTATGCAAGGACGACGAATGTTCCGATGCAGGGCGAATGTTTGATATTTTACGACAGCCCCGAGGATTGCCGCGGCCTCAGGGCCTCTCGGGGGGGTTCGTGGGAGATGCGCGTTCGTCACCTTTGCATTGGAACGCCCCCGTAGGTTCCCGACAAGGCCATGGTCGACATGCCGGTGCAAGCCTGGCAGGCCGCAGATGCCAAGGTCACGATCACCCCTGTCGCCGCCCCCGCGGCGGCGCTGACGGACGGGGAGGCCGCCCAGGAGGAGGGCGCCGCGAAGGTAGCTGCCGCGGATGCGGAGGCCGCCGCGAAGGCAGACGCCGAGAGTGCGGCCGCTGAGAAGGCCCAGGATGAGGAGGAGAAGAAGGAAGCAGCTGCCGAAGATGCCGTGGCGGCCGCGGGGAAGCACCAAGATGAGGAGGAAGCCGCCGTGAAGGCAGCTGCCGAGAGGGCCGACGCCGCGGCGGCCGCGGGGAAGCACCAAGATGAGGAGGGAGCCGCCGCGAAGGCAGCTGCCGAGAGGGCCGATGCGGAGGCGGCCGCGAGGAAGCACCAAGATGAGGAGGAGGCCGCCGCGAAGGCAGCTGCTGGGAAGGCCGACGCCGGCGCCCTGCGCTGCTTCCTGGCGCAGGGCACGAAGCGCGTCGCGCAAACAGGCGACGCCCTTCGTTCCCCAGCCCCCCCGTTCCCCCCCCCCCCGTTCCCCTTCGCCATCTCGCTCCCGCTCCCGCCCATCCCCCAGCCCTTCCCCATCCTGTCCTTCCGACGTGTTATACTCCCGAGGTGCACCCCGTAGCCCATGGCCCCATAGGATCCCCCCTCCCGCCTTCCCCTGCCCGCCAGCTCCTCCTCTCTCTCACTCACTCTCTTTATTTCTCTCGTTATCTTTCTCTCTCTCTCTCTCTCTCTCTCTCTTTTTCTCTCTCTCTCTCTCTCTCTCTCTCTCTCTCTCTCTCTCTCTCTCTCTCTCCCTCTCTCTCTCTCTCTCTCTCTCTCTCTCTCTCTCTCTCTCTCTCTTCTCTCTCTCTCTCTGTCTCTCACTCTCTCCCTCTCCCCCTCTCTCTCTTTCTCTCTCTCTCTCTC